CTTATGCAATGTTGCAAACTGACTATACTTCAATTTTTAAAAATTAATTTTATAAACTTTTTTTAGAGTCCACAAATCAGCTTTTCTTTACCAGTCAGAATGTTCACATTATTCTTTGTTTAAAAAATCCACATGACTAGACCCATCACACATTTAATGAGACAAGTCTGCCTCATGTCAGTTCATAGATTAAAGTTTTGGTAACTCTCATTCACAAAGTCTAAATAAAGCAGGAGAACTTAACACTTACAGTTTGCTCTCAAGAGTCATGTTTTCCTTCACCCTGACTGTCCTACCAAAGTGAAGGCGTCTGTAAACTGGTAAACCTGACATTTCTGGAGCACCCTGGGCTCAGGATGCCTACAAAGGCCACCCGACTTCAATTTCTCCTTAAATCGGATTTTTCAAATAATATTAGTTAAAATGTCTTGATCCCCGAATGATTCAACTACCTGCTACACAATAAAAGGTAAGAGGAGGATTCACCAGAAATCAGAAAATATGGTTTTAGTTCATGTTGCTTAAGATACAGGAGAAAGCTTGTATGGTTCTCCTTTTAAAGCCTTTGGAAGTATAGTTAGGGGACAATAAGAGAAAAAATTTGCCAGTAGAATAAACATTCAGAATATAGATATTCAACAACAAGGTCCTACTGTATAGCACAGGGAACAATATTCATTATCTTATAATAGTCTATAATGCAAAAGAATATGAAAAGGAATATATGCGTATAAGTGAATCAGTACGCTGTACACCAGAAACTAACACAACATTGTAAACCAACTGTACTCAATAAAAAGAGAAAGAAAGCAATGGCAGCATACAAAAATTAAAAGAATGGAGGTGTTTAATCTGACTTGGTATTTACTGAACGCTCACCTTGGGCACTTGTCGTGTGACTGACTGATTCTTTTGGCTTGCAGGGAGCCTGTGGCTTGGGAGCTTGTGACGACTGTGAACCACTATAACCCCAACCCCATCACTACCTCTGAGGGTAACTGCTATTTACTCAGCACAATGTGTTAGGCACTGTGCTAAGCACGCTACGCTTACCATCTGGGCTCATCTTCATGAGAACTCTGTGAGAGGCATTATTATCCAGACTTAAAGGTGGAGAAACTGAGAAGAGAGATGTCTAGATACTTCCCAAGGTCAGCCAAGTAGAAAATGTCAGACTCCAGACTGGAACCCAGGTCCTCTGATTCCGAAACTCATGCTTCAACCACTCATCCATGTGTCTCCACTAGAACGTATTTTAAATCCTCCTCTTCCCTGCTCCTTGTTAGGGCTCTGGGCTGCTCTCCTCCAGGGCTCTGGGTATTTCCCTGACTTCATGTTTTCTCTCTGCCTGCTTCCCCCAGCAAATTCCATGTGGACGATGGAGCAGAGCCCAGAGAGCAGGTAAGGGAGATGTTCCAGCAGAGCTTGGTGTGAGCAGAGTTAGATGAGGAAGTGATAGGGCAGATGTGAGATGAGGGAGAGAGAGAGAGAGAGAGAGAGAAATTTCTTTCACTGATTTAATTATTAGGGTAAAACTAGTAAGTAAGGCAATTGAGTCTCTTTATCAGGCCTTTTAAAAAAAAATTCTTATTTTTTATTAAAGTGTAGTCGATTTACAGTGTTAGTTTCAGGTGTACAGCAAACTGATTCAGTACAGCAAAGTGATTCAGTTATACATATACATACATAACATATATATTTTTTTCAGATCCTTTTCCATTACAGCTCATTATAAGAAATTGAATATAGCTCCCTGTGCTATTCAGTAGGTCCTTGTTTATCTGTTTTATACATAGCAATGTGTATCTACTAATCTCAAACTCCTAGTCTATCCCTCCCCTCTGGTAACCACAATTTGTTTTCTATGTCCTCTCAGGCCTTTTTAACCAAAACGCTTTCTTCCTTAGTGGTCTGAGGCCAGAGAATATGCATGGAAAAGATTCCACGACCCCTCCACACCCTTGCTGGCCTAATCTAGGCTGGCTTCTGCATAAACAGGGATACCACCTTGTTCCAGTTATTTTTGCTGCATAACAAACTACTTCTAAACCTAGACAATATGGACTGTCTCTATCTCAGGATGCTGTAGGGTGACTAGGCTGAGCTGACTAGGTCTCCCTCAGGGGCTCCCACACAGCTGCAGTCAGAGAGTGGCTGAGTTTGGAGTCATTTGAAGGCTTCTCTCCTGTAGCCTAAACATGAATGGCTGGAAAATCTGGGGCTGGTTGGGCTTCTCTGCGTGAAGAGCATCTAGTTAGCTTGGGTGTCCTCACAGCGTGAAGGTCACGGAAGAACCAGCAGTCATGCACTGGGGCTGGCTTGTAGGAACTTGTATGAATTTCTTTCTAACCTGTATTCAGCACTGTCACTTGGGTAGCTTGAAATCAGCCACAGTGGAGGAAGTATTTATATCATGAAAACTGGTAAACACTATAAATCGGAGGGCTCCCCAACCCCAGAGAGCCAGATTACCAGCACATGATTTTATAAGGTGGTTGGCATCCCCCAGAGTGAGTGAGCCAAGAAAACTGGAAGGAAGCTGCAAAGCATCTGAGAACCTAGCCATGAATGTCCCCAGACATCACTCCCTTCTTATTCTATTGGCCATCAGGTCCCTAAGGTGATCCCCAATCCAAGAGGAAGAGGATTATCATCCATGCCCCATGGAAGGAGAGTGAAGAAACTGTACAGTAGAGGACCCAGCACAGAATGAATGATGAATGAGTAGTCACTTACACACGAATACATATGTCCTGAAATCACTCTAAAAGTGTAAAGCCTTCTGGAAAATTTGACTTCAACATCAGAGCCAGTGATTTTTAAGTCCCCAAAGAGCCTCAATCTACAATTGCTTGATATAGATCTGTTGACGCTCTGTCTGCTGGTATTCACAGACCTGTTGACTCAAGCCCTTCCTGCTTGTGTGCTCAACTGGTACTGTACACACGACAATGGCAGAATGCTTGTTTTATAGATGTTTTCATACTATCAAAGTTTGCTTTACCTCCCTAAGTAAATTGCAAATTCCTTGAGAGAGTTCTCATGTATTTCTTTGCCCGGCCTCTTCCCTCCCTTGCCAAAACTAGGTAATCAGACATACACATACACACAAATACTTACAAGACGTATGATAGATAAAGATTCTAAGCCTTCGAAGCAAAGAAGGAAAGGAACTAAATATTCTTAATTGCTGTATTTTGTAAAGGTTCTCCTTTAACTCTTGCATTCACCTAGTGAAGTAGGCATTATTATTTTCCAGTTGAGACAAATGAGTCTCAAGAAAATTTGCCAATTTGGTCGAGGCCACACTAGGAAGTGGTGAGCCAGGATTCAGCTGTAGACCTGCCTGGTTCCCACTGCAGGACACATCCCTTCCTCTCCCCCATTCTCTCTGCCTCTCTCTTGAAGCATCCACAAGTCATAAAAATGCTAATGCTTCTAAACCCCAGATAGAGTAATAAGCGTTTCAAGTTCTGCTCTTGTAAGAAATGTCCTTTAAAAGCTTGGGAAGACAAGAAGCTTGAAGTGTCTTATACTAGGAAGGGAGTAAGGCTGGTAGCAGGGAGGTCAGCTAAGCGGCGGTTGTAGTAACTCTGGCCTAGAGTGTTGGTGGGATGAGGAGGTGGGGAAATGAGGAATATTAAGAAGACAGATCGACAGACTAGTGATGGATTGGATTGTCCAGGTGCCAGTCAGTCACTGTAGAGTCATCACTCTGGCTGTACCGGGAAGATGAGGCTTGGAGAGAGGAAGGCTGGATGGGCGGTTTCCATATTTCTGGAGAAGATAAGGGCTTCAACTAGGAAGGTAGCCATGAAAGTAAGAGAGTGGATGGATTTGAGAGGAAAACACAGAGGCAGGATCAACAGAATCTGTTGCCAAATTAGATGCGGGAATATGAGGATGAGGAAGGGGTCAAGGGTGAAATCTAGAAATCAGTCATAGACAACCAGGTGCCTTTCATGGAGTGAGTGGACACGGGGCTGGGGGATGGGGAAGCAGATTTCAGGGGAGTAAGAATTCTGGACGTGCCAAGTTTCAGGTGAATGTGTAAGCAGGTGCTGGCAGCCAGCATGCAATTGCATTTGAAACAAAGCAAACATCTCTTATCTCAGTGAGATTATTTGTTCCCTTCAGAGGGTGGAGATGAAAGCACCGAACCTGTGTGCAGCAGGGTTCTGCGTCAGGTAATAACAGGGCCCTGCAATGGATGCTTTCACTTCCCAGTGGTTCAACTTTCTCTACAAAAGCCATTTATTACCCTGGAGGCGCCTCCGTCAGCACCAAGATGTCTTTATGAAGACTTCCAAAGCTAATTAAGAACTGTACGATTTAATCAGTGGCAGTGACTCATCTATATAACTCACAGAAAGTGTGGCAGGGAGATTTCAGTGGCCCCTAGGACCCCAGGTCTGCCTGCATGCGCACACATACACACACACACACAGCCCGAAATTTAGAACTTGCACGGACAGGCTCCAAGACGTGTTTGCACGCTTCTGCCCCACATGAGAGCACAGCCACGGTTTACCTAAGGTTCCTGCATGTCAGGGCAGGGAGCCCGGGCCCTTTGTCCCTGCTACACTCCGAGGAAGAAGGGAAACATTCAAGCCAATGAGCTGCAGCTTTTCTGTGTGTCAGCTTTTAGCATGAGACCCTCTAAGGGTTCCAGCCAGAAGACAAAGCCAGGTGTCAGGAGGGCAAAGTGGGTAGGACAGCCCCAGCCAACAGAGATCACCAGTAGTTTCTTCACCGATGTGCTCGCTGTACCACTATTAGAACAGGCACCCGAAACCAAGCCCGGTTTAGATTTCCAGAAACCGCCTGCAGCTGGAGCTGAGCAGGGTTCTGCTCACCCAGCCCAGTGGGGAGCCAAACATCCTCCTCACCCAGCCCAGGGTCCCTTGACCAGACTCCAGCTTTACCCAGAGATGCCCTAAAAAGTCCCACCTTACATTCAACTTTCTGCATGGAAACCCACTAAAGAAGAGCTTCCTTACCTGCAAGGAGGTCCCGGTGACCAGCAGTGGAAAAAACACCAAGTTCCAGCAGATGTGACAGGGACGCACAGGGCCGATCTATTGCTTTTAAAAGAAGAAAGGTGACTTCATCTCTGGTGCCGTGGAGTTTAGAAGAGCAACGAGTACTCCCTGCCTGAGCCAATTCAGCCTCGCCAGTGATGATTCCATCCAAATTATGCGGCCACTGCCCGGACACGCTCAGTCTTCAGAAGGTGGATCGCCGGAATCTGACTTGCCCTGTTGTTTTCAAAGAGCTTCAGAAAGTCCGGAAGCACCGATCGCCTTCACCAGCACCAGGGGCAGGGAAACCTTACACTTACTTCCCCAAATCATATCATTATCTCCCAAGAATCCAACATTCTAGGGAAGGGAAACAGGTATTTAAACTTCTGAGAGGTAGAAATTCTTGGGGGAGGTAGGGAGAGAGAAAAAGCAAAGATCTTTCAGTCAGGAGGAGGGGCTGTGAAAATCTGGAAAGGATCCCCTTGCTCAGAGGTTTTCAGAGCTGGTGGATTTGGAAGCAGACAAAGGTGACAAATAGGTGATGATCTGGACTTTGCAGAGAGGAAAGTATTCAGTTCAGCAAAGAGAATGAGTCGCCATATGGAAAGAAATGTGATCATCTTTCTAATTTTCACCATCTTGTTTTCTTTTCATTGACTACGGTACCAATCCATTTGGGGCCATTTGTAACATTAATCTATTAGCTCAAAACAGGCCCACATTCCACTAAGAAAATTCAGGGAAAGAGATATTTATTTAAGTCAGGAGTTTTCTCTTTTGTATGTTAAAGGTGAGGCTGGAGCAATCGGATTTGTAACATGGGATTCAAGGTCACGTCAAGCTACCCAGTAAGGCAAGAACCTCTCCTGGATGCCACGTCCTTGGGCTAAAGTTTGGGTAGGACTTCTGGCTGTGGTGTCAGGACAAGGAATGGTAATATGTGTGACCTCTGTTGGACGTAGGGCAGAGGGTCGAGCTTAGCAGCCGACTGCCCTTCCCCCCATACCTCTACTTCAGGAGACTGTAAGGCGACTTTGGGTCACTAGGCAGGTGTCCAGTTTCCTGCTGAACTATTTTGAGGCTTTGGGGATCATCTTGTGTCAAGTTTGACTCCAGAGAGGGTAAAACAAGAAAAAAAAATCTCTGTTAAGATAGAGATACTCAGTTCCAATGTTAGAAAGGGCATTTTGAATTCAGAAATTTAATAAATGTCAACATGGCTTAGAGAAGGAACTTGCAAGTCTAGTCAGGGTGTAACGATAGGAGAGGTGCAGAGTTTCACCAATGGTAAGATCGAAAAAGGGCAGGAGCCATTTTTATTCAGTTTATTATAGTATCCTCAGAGCCTTGCACACAGAGTAGCACACGGTGGCACACAGCAGACTGTAAATGGTGTCCAACAGCCCCTTCTCTTCTAGATTTCTCAGACAGATCTGTTGAGAACTCTTGTTTAACTGAAGTATAACTGATATACAGTATCTTAGTACTTCTATATATGTTCACCATAGTTTACACGACAGTGATTTGATATTTACATTGAGAACTCTTCAAGTCACCATCTGGTAAGCAAGGCAGTTGCAGAGAGCACAAGCTAGTGGGTCTTCTGCAAGGCAGGAGGAACTTAGTCCCTTTTTTTTTTTTTTGCCTCAGCCCCTAGGTTTACTGCCAAAGTTAGAATAGAGCAAAGAAAGCCAGTTTCTGGACCCAGAAGCCCCCTTTGCCTACCTGGTTTCCCTGTGCATCAGCTAGACCCTCGTGTCTTTTCCCAGAGTCAGGACTCCATCTCTTAAGTAATCTGCCAAGTGTCTTCAATTATCTTTTGTTCTCAACGTTTTTATCGTAGAAGGTTCAAACTTGGAGATGTATTGAAAGAATTTTACAGTGAACTCCCATACAGATATCACATAGTTCCTTCAACTGACATGTTACTGTATTTGCTTTATCATATATTAATTCTCTATCCATTCCTCTACCCATCCAGCAACTCATTTAATTATTTTTGTTATTATATCCCCAGGTAAGTTGCAGACATTAATACATTCCCCCAAATACTTGTGTTATTAACCAGAGTTCCAAATTTGTTTACAATTCCTTTCTTTCTTTTCAGATGAAAATCATACACAATACAACGCAAAAATTGTTGATCCTTGTGTCAGGGCTGCACTGTCTTGTTTAGTATAGCTTTAGGGCAAGTCTTGAAGTCAAGCAGTATTAAGTCCTCAACTCTGACTTCTTTTCTCAAGACTTCTTTGAATAGTCGAAATTCTTTACATTTCTATAGAAGTTTTAGAATCAGCTTGTCAATTTTGACTAAAAAGCATAGTA